TGGGCCACATATGCAAGCCCAATGTCATAAGAAGGAAGAAGAAGTTGTGAAGCCCAAGCATGTGACTGACTGCATATACAGAGCTCCTGTCTCACGCAAAGTATGTGAGCAACGACGTTTCGTGAACCGTTTTGACGTCCTATTGGATGTCCTATTTCTGAGCATGAAAAGATTTATGGAGTTCTAAATGGATTAGGGAAAGAGTATGAGTCTATTTGTACTGTGATTGAAGATTCCATGGATAAATTTCCAAGCCCCTGTTTCGAAGATGTTGTCTTCAAGCTGACTAGTTTTGATGATAAGCTGCAAACTTATGACACATCTACTGAAGTTACTCCACATATGGCTTTTCACACTGATAGAGGTGGATATTCCAACTCTTACAACAACAATAGAGGAGGATATTTCAATCGTGGTCGTGGAAGGTACAAGGTGGATACAGAGGAAGAGGGGCTTACTCAACTCGTGGTCGTGGGTTTCAACAGCAGTTTTCATCTGGTTCATCAAGTGATTCCAGACCAACGTGTCAGATTTGTGGGAGATTTGGTCATTCGGCATTCAAGTGTTACAATCGATTTGATCCAGACTATCAACCTGAGGAACAACCTACTGCTATGGCTGCAATAAAGGTCCCAAATCAAGCTCCTCAGTCAGGACATGAGTGGTATCCAGATACAGGAGCAACAGCTCATATCACCAATTCTGCAGCTCAAGTTCCAAACGCTCAACCCTATCATGGTGAGGATGCTGTCATTGTTGGTAATGGCGACTTTTTGCCTATTACTCATATTGGATCTGCTGTTTTACCTACACTTCAAGGTACATTACCTTTAGAAGATGTTTTGGTTTGTCCTGATATAACAAAACCTCTTTTGTCTGTCTCTAAGCTGACTAAGGATTATCCTTGTGCTTTTACGTTTGATTCTGACTCTGTCTGTATAAAGGACAAATGGACAAAGGAGCTCCTCACTCAAGGCAGCAGAAGTAATGACTTGTACGTGTTGAAGAATCCTCAGTTTAAGGCTTTTTACTCTACAAGACAGCAAGCTGCGAGTGGAGATATTTGGCATCAAAGACTTGGCCATCCTCATGTTGAGATTCTTCAATTTCTTACAAGAAAACAGTTTATCGTTTTGAATAAGGCTAGCTCTCAGTTGTGTGAGGCTTGTCAATTGGGAAAATTGTGCAAACTTCCTTTTGTTGCTTCTGATTATGTCTCATCTAGGCCACTCGAACGCATACACTGTGATTTGTGGGGACCGTCACCTGTAGTCTCAGCTCAGGGATTTCAGTACTATGTTATTTTTGTTGACAACTATTCGAGATTCACTTGGTTTTATCCACTTAAAAGGAAATCGGATTTTTATTCAGTGTTTCTTCTTTTTCAAGCTTTGGTTGAGAAGCAACTTCAGCAACAGATAACTATGTTTCAATGCGATGGAGGAGGTGAGTTTATTAGCTCCAAATTTCTCGAGCATTTGGCCAGCCGTGGAATCAAACAACTAATCTCTTGTCCGCATACGCCGCAGCAGAACGGTCTTGCAGAGCGCAAGCACCGGCATATCACGGAGTTAGGACTCTCCATGATGTTCCACAGCAGAGTACCTCAGCAATTGTGGGTTGAGGCTTTCTTCACCTCAAATTTCTTAGGAAACCTCTTACCCTCGTCAGTTACAGATGGTCAGAGTCCATATGAAAAACTTTATGGAAAGCCTCCCATTTACACTGCTTTAAGAGTTTTTGGCTGCACTTGCTATCCATATCTACGGCCTTATTCCAAAAACAAATTTGATCCTAAGTCTTTACACTGTGTATTTCTTGGATATAATGAAAAGTACAAGGGATATCGTTGCTTTCATCCTCCATCTGGAAAGGTCTATATAAGTAGACATGTTTTGTTCAATGAGCTGCAGTTTCCTTATACTGATGTGTATCGTGAGTTTCAGGCTGCAGGAAAAACTCCATTGATCTCAGCCTTGAATATACATGTAATGTCTACTACTCAGGAAGTGGAAAGCTCTGGGTGTACGGCTGATTTTCTCTATGTTCCTATCGGCAACATAGACTCACAAAACGAAGGAGAAGGGTCAATCACAAGAGCTGTGGAGAATGCAGAAAATGGAGAAAATGCAGAAAATGGAGAATTTTCAGAAAATGGAGACTCTGGAGGAATTGGAGAACAAACACAAGCTGAGACAAATGCAGACATTTCAGAGTCAATCTTTACTGAACATGACTTCCCTCCATTGTTTGCTGCTCCTCGAGATGATCAAAATCAAGTCGCTCCGGCTCACTCAATGACTACTCGAGCAAGATCAGGAATTGTTAAGCCAAATCCCAAGTATGCATTGTTCACGGTAAAGACTAATTATCCTGAGCCAAAGACTGTCAAAGCAGCACTTAAAGATGCAGGATGGACAAATGCTATGGGAGAAGAGATAGAATTTATGCATGAAGTGGATGCTTGGGATTTAGTTCCACCAGATGAAGCTGATAATGTATTGGGATGCAGATGGATTTACACAACTAAACTGCGAGCCAATGGAGATCTTGATCGACTAAGAGCTAGACTAGTGGCAAAAGGGTATGATCAAGAAGAGGGAGTTGATTTTATTGAGACATTCAGTCCAGTTGTCAGAACTGCAACCGTTCGATCAATTCTTCATGCTGCTGTTACAAGAAAATGGGACATCAAACAACTGGATGTGAAGAATGCTTTTCTCCATGGTGATTTAAAAGAGACTGTATATATGACTCAACCCCCTGGGTTTGAAGATCCTTTGAAACCAGAGTTTGTCTGCAAGCTTAAGAAAGCTATTTACGGGCTTAAGCAAGCTCCTCGCGCATGGTTTGATAAATTCAGCAATCATCTCATTGATTTTGGTTTCATTTGCAGCATACCAGACCCATCTCTCTTTGTCTATTTAAAGGGAAATGATGTGATGCTTCTCCTTCTTTATGTTGATGATATGGTGTTGACAGGAAATAATAATGAGCTAATCAAAAAGCTGCTCGAGAGTTTGAATGCAGTCTTTAAAATGAAGGATTTAGGTCCTTTACACTATTTTCTTGGAGTACAAGCACATTTTCATGCTGATGGGTTATTTCTTTGTCAAGAAAAGTATGCAATGGATCTCTTAATCTCTGCAGGAATGGCTGATTGTGCTCCTATGCCCACTCCTTTACCGCTGCAGTTAGATAAAGTCTCAGGACAAGATGAAGTGTTTCCAGAACCTACATATTTTCGAAGTTTGGCTGGTAAGCTTCAGTATCTCACGCTTACTAGGCCTGATATACAATTTGCAGTTAATTTTGTGTGCCAGAAGATGCATTCCCCTACGGTCTCAGATTTTAATTTACTCAAGAGAATACTACGGTATTTAAAAGGAACTTTGCAAATGGGATTAGACTTGCGTGCTGATGCTGATTCTAAACTTAGAGCCTACAGTGATAGTGATTGGGCAGGATGTAAGGATACAAGACGTTCTACAGGTGGTTTCTGTACTTTTCTTGGCACAAATATAATTTCTTGGTCTGCAAAACGACATCCTACAGTTTCAAGATCTTCTACAGAAGCTGAGTACAGAACTATGTCAATTGTTGCTACAGAGTTGAAGTGGATCAGTTCTCTTATGGAAACAATTGGATTTCCTCCTGATGATGTGCCAGAGATGTATTGTGACAATCTTTCTGCTGTCTACCTCTCTGCAAATCCTGCACTTCATTCACGATCAAAGCACTTTGATGTTGATTTTCATTATGTGAGAGAAAGAGTCGCTCATGGTGCCTTGGTTGTGAGACATGTTTCTTCAGGACAACAATTGGCAGACATTTTCACTAAGTCTCTTGCTCAAGAACCGTTCTTTGACTTGCGCTACAAACTTGGTGTCACTCTTCCACCTGCCACAAGTTTGAGGGGGTGTATTAACAAAGACAATATGTCGTTGGTTTTATCAAGTGAAGGAGATGGGCCACATATGCAAGCCCAATGTCATAAGAAGGAAGAAGAAGTTGTGAAGCCCAAGCATGTGACTGACTGCATATACAGAGCTCCTGTCTCACGCAAAGTATGTGAGCAACGACGTTTCGTGAACCGTTTTGACGTCCTCGAGTCCAATGCTATTTCCAGTCATTAGACATCTGTCAAGTTATGTATTGTTGTTCTCTTCTTTAAAACCATTATGCTCTGTATCTAAATCTCTGAGAAGTGAAATCAGAAAGTAGTTGTCTTTGCTAAAGTTTAGAGCTTTTCTCAAAAGCTTTCAGAAGCCTCAAAGAGAGCTGCAGAGGGAAAGAAAGTTCAACCCAAGAAGAAGAAGAACGTTGGCAAGAGAAGGTGAGAATGAAGAAGCATCGTATTGCACAGTAAGTAAAGGGTTTGTCTCAAGCCCTGAAACATTTCTCTACCTAAATGCTCTGAAACATATTTCTCTCTTTCATCTCCTCATCTCTCCCATCTGTTAAAAGCTCTTATAATAGCTTTTACTGTGATTACGCATATCCTTTTACAGCTTTTGTAAAAAGTTCCAAGAGAGCTCTGTCTCTCTGGTTTTACGTACCTATTGATACATTCACTTTTATGAGCTTCTCATTGATTGATTGCCTTTTCCTCTCTCTCACTGTCTTGTTCGTCTCCTTCTATGTAGTTAAATTTGTACTTTTCTGATCGCTTGTATCGTATCGATAGAGAAGGGGTTTTGCATGAGCTTTAATCTCAAACCTGACCCTCTCCATCGTGCTCTCTGTGTAGTTCGTCTCTTTCCTTTGATTCCACCTCCTTCTAAGTAATTAAATTTGTACTTTTCTTCATCTTTTGAGGCGTTTCTCATGAAATACCATGGAGGTCGAAAAAACATGCTCCTCGTTTCCTCTGAAAGCTTTTGAGAAAAGCTCTAAACTTTAGCAAAGACAACTACTTTCTGATTTCACTTCTCAGAGATTTAGATACAGAGCATAATGGTTTTAAAGAAGAGAACAACAATACATAACTTGACAGATGTCTAATGACTGGAAATAGCATTGGACTCGAGGACGTCAAAACGGTTCACGAAACGTCGTTGTTCACATACTTTGCGTGAGACAGGAGCTCTGTATATGCAGTCAGTCACATGCTTGGGCTTCACAACTTCTTCTTCCTTCTTATGACATTGGGCTTGCATATGTGGCCCATCTCCTTCACTTGATAAAACCAACGACATATTGTCTTTGTTAATAGCTTCTTCTGCTTCCTGCTCCGCTCTCTCTTGTGCCATTTTCTGCTCTTCTTGTGCAATTCTATGCTTTTCTGCAGCATGATCGTAAGCGTCGATGATCCTCTGGATGAGTAAACTATTGCCTGAAGAATCCAGAAGGAGAGAGTAGTGGTAGCAGCACTCAAAGCAATGGCAATGGAAGCATGGTGCATGGGCTCCAATTCGAACATAACCAGGATCTCCTTCTCGGTTAACAAAGTCCTTAGAAATGAAGAAACAGAGTAGATGCCTGTCTTCGTTTGAGAGAGACTGCACTAGATCTCTGTCGTCTTTAGGGAGAATGCTTAGACGATCAATGAGGACGGACCTCTTCCGATTCCTGTTCCATTCATTCAACTGTACTAGCATCATCCTTTCAACGGATCTTTCCTGTGCCACATCGTGGTAATCTGAGTCGCCGTAGTTTCTCAGGACATTCCCAAAAATCCTACGTACGGTCGCTTCTTGCTGTGCGTGCTTATTGGCCATGTACTGGATCATCTCCTCCACAGTGAAGAAGTTGTCGAAACACTTTTTGTAGCTCTCCTGTACAGTTGGTGCTGGATTTGGGGGAAGTTGCGCTCCCTCGTTCATCTTGTTTCTCATGGCAATCGCCTTAACCAGACGTGTATTCGAGTGGAATCTCTGAAACCTGGACTTGATCTCTTCTACTGATTGGGTGTCACTGTGATGTTCAAGCATGTGCGCGATCGTCTCTTTCAAAGTGTAGGATCTGTTGAAACACAGGTAATAGTTGCCCAACACATTCTCGTAATTCCCGTTATCCATCGCCCGCTTCTTTGTTTTTGGATTTTCTTTCGCCTGCATTGTCAATCAGCAGAACAAGTTTCAGGAATGATCATCACAAACCACCAACCAAGGAGTTTCGAAATCTCATCATACTCTCTGTAAATCAACATCAATTTTCAAAAACTCACACCAAGCAACTCACAATCTACTAACATATCTTATAGATCCTTGAACGACACGAGTCAGAAACGATCAATAGTATCACGAATCCTAGATCTACAGAGAAGAAAGCAAAGCTAATGATACTCTCTCACAATCAACTCAGAAATTTCAAAAACTCACCAACCAAGGAGTTTCGAAATCTGATGATACTCTCTCACAATCAACTCAGAAATTTCAAAAACTCACCAAGCAACTCACGATTCTACTAACATTCTATAGATCCTTGTACGACACGAATCAAGAGTATCACGAATATTAGATCGTAAATCTGAAACTCTCTCTCACAATCAACTCAGAAACTTCAAAAACTCACCGATCAACTAACGTTTACCGAAACGAGCTCAAATCACGGAAACTATGAGTAATCAGAAACGAAATCACGAATTCGATGTGTACGAAGAAGAAACTATCTCAATCAACTCCGAAATTTCGAATTCTCAGATCAGATCAGCTCAAGTGAACGAAGAAGAGGAGGAGTATTGTGTTTCAGGAGAGTGATTTCGACGTACCAGATATGAAATGAGGATGAGAAATGAAGAAATTCAGGAGCTCAGTTTCAATCTTCTCCTCCGATCTCCGTCTTCATCTTCCTCTGCGTTTCTCTCTCCTTCGTCTCTCTGATTGAAGTCTGGGTTTCTCTCTGCTTCGTCTCTCTGCTTGAAGCGGGGGATATAACAAACTCTTTTGAATTTGTTTTTATTAATGTTTATATTTGAATTCCTTCCTAATGGGCCAGGCCCAAATAGGTACGACGAAACACAATTTGGTCCACCAAATAGCCCATTGCAGATCCGGGTCGGGTTACGGGTTAGAGCACATTGCCTTTAATTTGCCGTGGAAAGGGACTCCGATGGTCATCTCCGGCGAAGCGCAATGTCGATGGTGGTTCTCATCGCTTCCATCGCCACCATAAACAGTAAACGGAGCTGGTAGAGTTCGCGAAAGCTGTGTGAATTCTTCACAAAAATCCTCTGGCTTCATGTTTCAAAATCAATCCACAACTGGGTTTTGGTCACAGGCGGACTGGAGAATATACACAAGTTTCTGTCTTGAATCATTCTCTCTCGCCAACCACAGTCGCAATCTCTTCGACTCGAGGTCTTCTCCGGCGTCCGGCGGGTGCCGTGAGAGGGCATCCCTTTGGTCCGACATATCTAATCTCTGGCGGCGTTGTGGTGTGAGAGTCGCTGCTGCGTGCTCGGGTCGTCTCGATCACTGCCGGGTCTAATCGTTGTTGGATACTAAATTTAGGCTTGGCTTGTTGCGATCCTCTTAAAACAACCGAATTTGTTGCGTTTTGCATCTTTCCTCTCAACTTTATTTATTGACGCATATTCATTCATTAAGCCACTTGTGTGAGACTTGTTATATTAATAAAGTTAGCAGGCAATGAGCCAATGCCTTGCGAGTTTTGTTTCATCTAAAAAAAAAAAAAAAACGTATGTACTTGTCAAAATATAACATTCGGAATTCGGATGGTACTGAAAAGTCTTAAGATGATTACAAGTGCAGCAATTTGTTTAATCAACGTAACAAGAGAAAGAACCTCTTTTTCTTCCAAAGGCAGACTCGGCTGTAAACAGAACGAACATATATGATCATTTCATACTATTTGCTTAAAAGGTTTCTGTCTATTTGCTCACATTAATTTCCCCCCTTTCCCTTTCATAGTTAGCTAAGCTTTTCTCAATAAATCTATCTAATCAAATAAATAAACATATATATCTATATTTGTACCTTTATTTTTGTTACATTTGGACACAAAGTTACTAAATTTTGATCACAAGTGAATTGTTTAAGATGATTACAAGTGCAGCAATTTGTTTAATCAACGTAACAAGAGAAAGAACCTCTTTTTCTTCCAAAGGCAGACTCGGCTGTAAACAGAACATTATGATCATTTCAAACTATTTGCTTAAAAGGATTCTGTCATGTTACTTGATACATATACATGTAAATTCTGGGCATGTTACTTCATATACATAAACAGCCTCTTTATCAACAACAAAAAAAAGGCTAAAACAACACAACTTGCAAATTTTTAATAATAATTCTTCTTCAATTCTCTTTTACACGCAAGGTACACAGCAAGGAATGGAGATGAAACTAGGGATGTAACTTCTAAAACAAGTAAACATATTAACAAACAAAGTATCTATTGAAATTTTCCTCAACACATCTCCCTTCACAATGTAGATGCAAGGATGCTCGGTTCCATCACAAGCACACACAAAGAGCCTCTTATCGTCCTTGTTATCAACAAAGAAACTAGGATCAGGGGAAAGATAATGCGGTAGTAATCTCGGAAAGTTAGGTATTGAGACTGTCATGAAATTTATCCACACTAGGGCCTCTCCGTTCCCGTCAACCTTTTGCTTTGTCACGAAAATCTCAACCTTGTTACTCAGACGTGACTGCATTAACAAAGAAAGTCGATCTCCCCTGAAAACCGCCAGGGCTTGGGTAGAGAAAGAACCTTCAATACTAGGGAAAGCACAAATAGTCTTGAATATATCCTCTGACATATCAAAGCTTTGGATGAAATATTTATAAGCCTTTGTATCAAAAGCGATAAAATATAAATTCCCATTCAAAGACATGATACTGTCTGGCATTATCCCATGCGGTTCTTCGCGAGTGCCATTAATAAACTTCCACGCATCAGATTTGCATTCGTAGATGGCAACATTGGATTGGAATTGTCCACTACTCCTATCGGTATAAAAATTATACCCAAAGATCTTGTAACCTCTTTCGGGTCTGATATTATCGTACCCTACGCCCCCGAAAGTATATTCTTGATTCTCTATAAATCTATGCTGTCTCACCCAAGGGTTCCAAATCACAAACCCTTTCTTGCACATACCATACAGCACAAACCCATCGCAATAACATAAGTTGGTATATGTTTTGCATTCATATTCTAAAGTTACATCACGCTCCACTATCGACATGTTATCCTCGTTCTTGTCGTCGATACTGATTTCCACCGAACAAATCTTAGAATCGGTCCGTATCATGAATTGAGGACGCGCGCGAGACAAGTACTTGTTCAAGAAACTCTTGTCTTCCCAAACAGCTTTCCATTGCTTACATACAGTTCTGAATCGAGCAAGGTATTTCGTTGGCACTCGACAAAGGATTTCTCCGACCAAGTCCCATGGTAATTGCTCCGGCTGCGACATTAGGTCTTTTGCTTCAACTCCAAGTCTCCATTGTGTTATATACTTATATCTATTGATTAAATTTGGGCTCGAAGCATCGTTAGGCCCATTTTTTTATCTCTTTGTTTTCATGTCTCCCACAGAGAAAAGCGGTATAGTAAATTATTTGACTTACATGTGAATTTTGACTGTCACAAATTCACAATGTACGATGAAAATTTGATAAAAATTTATATCACAAGGTACATCATATAAGATAGATGAGATGATGAGAATGGATTGATGATTTCCATTGAGGTCTAGAGATAACTAAGGAAATACAATATTTACAAATGAATGAGAAATATACTAGTCTATGATTCCAAAGGCAGACTCGGCTGTAAATAGAACGAACATATATGATCATTTCATACTATTTGCTTAAAAGGATTCTGTCATGTTACTTAATACATGTACATGTAAATTCTGGTCATGTTACTTAATATACATAAACAGCCTCTTTATCAACAAAAACAAAAAGGCTAAAACAACACAAGAAAGCCAAACTTAAACTTGAAAATTGTAATAATAATTATTCTTCAATTTTCTCTTTTACACAGCAAGGAATGGAGATAAAACTAGGGATGTAACTTCTAAAACAAGTAAACATATTAACCAACAAAGAATCTATTGAAATCTTCCTCAACACATCTCCCTTCACAATGTAGATGCAAGGATGCTCCGTTCCATCACAAGCACACACAATGAGCCTCTTCTCGTCGTTATTATCAACAAAGAATTGGAACACCAATTCGAAATCATTTAGGGACAGAATAAATTGTACAAAATACTTTAAAATCTACATACACAACATTAAATAAGTAACTTATGCTATCAAGAACCATGTAAAGAACATGAAACCTTATACTTTGAAGAGGGTGATAATTTTTCATGATTTGGTTCCCAAACTTGGTGCGATAAAACTGCTTTGTTTTTAATAGTTTTGTGAAGTACATACACTTTTTAAAATCCTCTTATATAAAGCAAACTGAGTACATTTTCTGATAACTCTTAAACTTCATTCGGTAATAGATACATTCCCAAAAAAGCTTTTTTAGCTGTTTTAGGACTAATTAGCTCATTTTCTACTTGTAAGCTATATTTCTTCTTCCTCGTTGTAAACTTCCACTACCTTTCCTCTCCTTGGTTATTTTTCTTTTCATCCGAATTGGCTCCACTTCTTCCTCTTTTTCCGGCTGGACCACTCGATCTTCCACTCTACTGCCCACATTATTCAAAAGACAAAACAAATGTCTCCAGATCTATGAATCAGTAACATTTGAGTTAATCTTAGCTTCCCCATTTGTACTAGGGCGAAAAGCTGCTAAGGTAGTGTAGCCTAGATCCCACACCTCAATTAAGACTTCGTCGAAGAACTGCCACGTTCTGTCATTCACAGATTTTGTTGGTGGCTTTTGGATTGCTGTTGCCAGGAAATTTTTAGGTATGCCTTTTTCAGCTTGTTTCTCAATGCATTTGCATTTGACAAACGTGGATTTGCATATATTTCTAACCACAAGTTTGATCATGCCTTCTGATTCAGTGTTACCGTGATTGTCTCTCACATCCTTGATCATCTCTTTCAAAGTGCAGAAATTGTTCAAACACATGAAATAACTGTTTGACACAATCGCTATTTTTGGATTGTTTTTGCCTTCATTGTGAATCAGTAAATCAATTTTTAGGAATGATTATCACAATCACAATCACAAATGAAGGAATCGTGAGCTAAAGCTCTCTCCAAATCAAAACCAGTTATTATCGAGAGAGAGTGAAAATGTAACTTTCACTTTTTCATATCGATCATGAGAGAAACAACGATGAAATCCAAAACGAATTCAACAGAATCACCAAATTCGATATCTAGAAATCTGAAAATATATGTAAACCAACACATAAATTTTCAAAAACTCAAGGATTAACAACTTACGTTTGCCGAAGCAGCACAATTCGACTAACAATATAGATCCATGTTAGAAACAATAGAGGAATCAAAAAGGAAATCAAAACTACCAAGAATCTGAGATCTACAAAGGAGAAACTAAAGCTAAAACAAACTCTCTCTCAAACCATGGACTCCAAGCTAGACTTTTAAATATGGTCTTAAAGCGTCTAAAGACTATAGGCCCAATTTCTTATCTCTTTGTTTTCATGTCCCCCACACAGAAAAGTGTCTACAGGCCCGTAAATGATTTGACTTTCATGTGAATTTTGACTGTCACTCACAATGTACGATGAAAATATGATAAATTTATATCACAATTCACAAGGTACATCATACTGTATTGTTTATGATAAATACATATGATTGGAGACTTGCTTTATATAATTTGCAAGTTTGTAACAACGACGATCAAGAAGTGCTCGCAACTGTATGGTTAGAAATATGGGGAACCAAGTTTTGAGGGGAGATTCCACGAAGCTCCATTTATCCCGAGAGAACATAACGAGTCGGGCTCCAATAAGTATATCAAGTTCTTCTAGAAGAGATGATGATGATTTTGATTCGGTTGTCTATCGTCTTGTGTTGTGTTGCTTACAAGGAAGCTACCTTGCATCGCAATCTTAAGATGTCATCAACAATATGTAGCTGTGTGATAAGAGAATCCACACACAACAAATGAGTAAGAAAATGTCCTTCCGTAAAAGATATATGATGCAAAACCTTTTTTATGATAAAAGATATATGATGTATTACTCGGTCCATTTTCTTAAAACCAGATGCAATTCAAAAGCTTCCAAAATGTGCAATAGAAAGTTCTAAGCTCAAAGGTTATCATATGCAACATACCGAGCTCTAAGGTTATCATCTTAACGACGTACGTTTTCGCATCGTTAACACCTTTTTAAAAATCTCACCTGATCGTTTTGCACCACCTAGCGTATAACACATTTTCATCTTCATCTGCATGCGAGCATTAGTATTTTTTATATTAGAAAGAAACTTTGATAGTTAATAGAAGAGCATCTCATATAAATAACCAAGGGTATATTTATATAGATATGCCGCACTATTCACTCTCTCAAAGCTACTTGCTGAGTGTGCCGGACACTTGGATAGCCCTCCTTGATTTTTACATGTTATGTGCATATATAACTTCACCTCATCGGAGCATTTTTATATCTTAACACGTCCATTAAAATCTCCTATGAAGCTTAAAATCTAGCTTGACCAATTTTAGTAAGACCATAGCAGAGCTGGAGCTAGATTGGACTCATTGGCAACAACTTATGACTTTAAAGAAACTTTGATAGTTAATAGAAGAGCATCTCATATAAATAACCAAGAGTATATTTATATAGAAATATACGTAAAACGAGTAATGATTAGAGCCTAAACTTCGAAGTGCTTTCACTTGATTTCATTTTTGGGTACATGTTAAGATTTAATTATAAAGATGCGAATGATCTAATCCTTTTTAAAAAAAAATTATTAAAAGATTGGCTACTAGATTAATAGGGTTGGTACATTAATGTCTGATGGAGTAGAGATAGATATGGATACCATTTTATTTGATTTTTGGCTTAGAAGAATAAACAAAGCATGTGGAAGAGAAAGCTCCCTTTAACACCTCAAATATGGCTAAGTGTCCCCAACACAAATCCTATTCATAAATTCACACATACAACAAAGTTCCATGACCTAACCAACAATTCAATATAGCCCACTTTTGAGAAACAAAGATGCAATACTCAAAAATAGGAACAATCCTCTTAATATTTCTAATTACACATTTTTGTTAGTAGACAAGTCAGCATCACCAACTTCAAACCGAAAGAACCGTCTTTAATGCAAGGAGACGATCAAAAGTTAAAAATATATGCTGTACAAGTAGATCTTCTTCTGATCCAATCTAAACCCTGTTACGATGGAATCAGGTTTAAAACAAAAACATGGCACAAGGGATCATTATCAGAAATTCAAAATTTGTGCATAAGATATAGTTCGGTATGCGTACACATGGGTGAATGTGTATAAATTTGTGTATGTTTTGTATGTTACAGCAATGTAGAAAAGACAAGATGTTGATTTTTTGTAAAAGGACCACTTTATTGTTTTTAGGGTTTATTAATTAAGCACACATACATATATACACACACATGAATACATATATGTCACCCCCACAAGTTATGTGACATTCTTTTCAATTCCCTGTTCTTTCCCCTTCTTCGCCGCTGCTCACATTAATTTCCCCCCTTTCCCTTTCATAGTTAGCTAAGCTTTTCTCAATAAATCAATCTAATCAAATAAATAAACATATATCTATATGTGTACCTTTATTTTTGTTACATTTGGACACAAAGTTACTAAATTTTGATGTGAAGTTGATGATAGTTTAATTTCTCTTTATGTTGTAATATATTCGAACAATGTTAAATTTGGAAAAAGGTTAAAAAAGGTCTTAGGGAAAAAAACATTGGATTAAACTACAATGAAGAAAACTCTCTACCAGACTAACCCAGGAATCGCATGTTCTAAAAAGTGAACGTCCAGTTTGAACTTCCTAATTTTATATAAATAAAACATCTAATCAAAAATAGTTTGTATTGACTATTGAGTAATTGTTTAATTGTACATGTGATTAATTAAAAAAAGTATAGCCTTTGTAGCTCATTATAAGTATATACTGTAATCTATAAAATAAAATGGATCAAATTGTTAATCAATCATGCCTCTATGATGATCTGGATGTATTAATATGTGTTTGATCAAATAGATACAAAATGAACAAGATTTCTGTTGAGAAAGCAAGGCTAGTAAAAGTCAGCATCAAAAACAGCTCTTTCTTCACATTGTTCTACCTCTAAGTGCATAGATGCATAGATGCATATATTTATATTATTTTGGGTAAAAATATGCATTCCACTGGTGGTGACACAACGATAATACCAATACAAACTGTTCAAATTACATGTCTTAGTCTACTTTATGTTATATCACTCTATTCACATCTTTATTTTTGTTTTAGATAAACGTTGATATAAATTAGATGTGTCACTTTTCACTATTGGGTTAAGTCTCATAACTCGATTAACTGCGATTGTTATTTCTGAACTTGATGACACTATAAACATAACTCATCATTTTCAAACGATCCACACGTCTTACCATTTATATTCACAATTTATAATTTAAGTCATGTTGTTTCTACTTTATATATAAAGCAACGGCTCCATGTACTAGAATTTTATAAAAATGTTATAAACATGAATTATGATTTAGTGAAAAGTTTATGTTTCTTACTTTCACCATTCTGATATAGGATTATAGCATTCTCAGAAATTGCCGATCAAAATTGAAATTGTCAAAGACAAAGGTAAATGAAGAAAAGAATCGAGGCACCAAACCAAAGCCTTAAAGGGATAATCTCTTTTACTTCTTTTTAAAATTTGAATCTAAGAGGAACAGAAGAACGTTCCTCGTTATACGTGTAACACTGCTTGCATAAATAAAAAATAAAGCATAGTTTCAATTTCATATGCTAAGATTATTCTTCCAACGGTCGAAAAAAGGTAAAGCATTTTATAACCAATTTAATCATTTATTATAAAAAAAAACATTACAAACACACATAAAATCTTTATTTTTTAACTCCCTCTCGTCTCCAAAGGCCCAAACTTTGAATCATCACTATCACTCACTCACTCTCTCTCTATAGAACTGCACGGACAACGACATGCTTTAAATTTTCATGCAAATCCCTCCTTCTCAAGCAGTTTTTGAAAATCACTCTCAATCAATCAACGAATTCGAAGCTTTTCTCTTTTTTTTTTTCTTCTTCTCCATCATCATCAATGGTGGCTGGTAAGGTCCGTGTAACCATGGGCTTTCACAAATCGCCTTCAACCAAACCAAAAGACATGAATTCTCCACTTCCTCTTCCTCTCCCTCCTCCGCCTCCTCCTCCGCTTAAACCTCCTTCCGGTTCAGCTGGAAAACCGGCGAATCCTCAGAAACCGGGTTTCACTCGCTCTTTCGGCGTTTATTTCCCACGCGCTTCCGCTCAAGTACACAATGCTTCTTCTCGCTCTTCTGATCAAAATGCCGTCGTCTCCGAGCTTCGTCGTCAGGTGGAGGAGCTTCGCGAGAGAGAGGCTCGGTTAAAGACGGAGGTTCTCGAGCTCAAACTCCTCAGAGAATCAGTTTCCGTTATTCCGTTGCTCGAATCGCAGATCGCGGACAAGGACGGTGAAATCGAGAATTTGAGGAAGGAGACGGCGAGATTGGCGGAGGAGAACGAGAGATTGAGGCGAGAAAATGAAAGCAGCGAGGAGCAGAGGAGAGAGAGCGAGAGGAGGGAGAAGGAGATGGAGGCGGAGACGGTGGAGCTCCGGAAACTTGTTTCGTCGACGCTGAGGGAGAGTGACGACCACGCGCTCTCGGTTTCTCAGAGGTTCCAGGGTTTAATGGATGTGTCGGCGAAATCGAGCCTAATCAGAAGTCTACGACGGGTCGGGTCGATGAGGAGCATACCCGACCCAATTCCGAATCAAGAGAGCAAGACCGTTTCGTCCGGCGATGCCGACGGCGACATTTACAGGAAAGAAGAGATCGAGAGTCATTCCACGAGTAACTCGGAGGAACTCACCGAGTCATCTCTCTCAACCGTCAGATCTAGGATTCCCAGAGTCCCGAAACCACCGCCTAAACGTTGTTTTTCATCCAACGGCTTAGTCGATTCCACGGAGAACAGAGCAGATCCGCCACCCCAGAGAACAATTCCGCCTCCTCCTCCGCCTCCGCCACCCCTTCTTCATCAACCACCACCTCCTCCTCCGTCTTCCAAAGCCCCTCCTCCACCTCCTCCACCGCCGCCGCCGAAGAGCTTAAACATAGCGTCGGCGAAAGTGAGAAGAGTACCGGAAGTGGTGGAGTTTTACCACTCGTTGATGCGAAGAGACTCCACAAACTCGAGACGAGATTCCACCGGCGGTGGTAACGCCGCCGCGGAGGCAGTACTTGCTAGCTCCAATGCCAGAGACATGATCGGAGAAATCGAAAACCGATCGGTTTATCTCCTCGCGGTAAAAAATCTCTTTAACCCAGAATCTCATTAATTTCGGTTTAGCCTCTCTTTTTGTCTTGCGTCAGTGAGAATTGACCGGTCCTTCCACTTTTTCCTCGTCCTTTTTCGAGAACCTTTTTCGCCAGAATTTCAAAGTTTCAAAAATCTTAAACCGGTTTGCTAAACTCAAACCGAAAAACATTGCAGATCAAAACCGACGTAGAAACGCAAGGAGATTTCATAAGATTCTTGATTAAGGAGGTCGAAAACGCTGCGTTTTCAGACATCGAAGACGTCGTCCCTTTCGTCAAATGGCTCGACGACGAACTCTCTTACCTGGTATGATAAAAAACAGAGTCCTCACTTTAATTCTGGGGTTTTTTTTTTTTTTTTTATCAATCTGAATTATTAAAACTCTGGTGTTCTTTTCAAGGTTGATGAAAGAGCAGTGTTGAAACACTTCGAATGGCCGGAGCAAAAAGCAGACGCGTTGCGTGAAGCGGCGTTTTGCTATTTCGATCTGAAGAAACTCATATCGGAAGCTTCTCGTTTCCGGGAAGATCCTCGTCAGTCTTCTGCTTCTGCTCTTAAAAAAATGCAAGCTCTGTTCGAAAAGTAAATTTAAAAATCCTCCCTTTCGAAACATTTTCTAAATTTCAAACCTTTTAATTAACAAGATAACTTATCAGATGATTTTTGTGTGGATTTTAAAGGTTGGAGCATGGTGTTTATAGTCTGTCGAGAATGAAGGAATCAGCGGCGGCAAAATTCAAGAATTTCCAGATTCCGGTCGATTGGATGCTCGAAACCGGCATTACTAGCCAGGTCAGCAACATTTGCAAACATAATCATCCATAGATTAACGTTTATGATCCGTATTGATTAATTAGTAAAAGAGAACATGGCTTGGTTTTGCTAGTTAGTCTGATTAAAGGTTTGATAGTATAGTGATTTCTATCTGGTAATTTAGTTGTTCATGATCATCACTCGCTTCCCATATTTAGCTATTTATTGCACTTTGATTGGATGGAAAAGAAAAGTGATGGAGAAGATAATAATAATAATATAGAAACAACAAGAACAACAATACTCATGGTCCCCATTTTTTTCTGATAAAGTCAATTGTCGATGGAAGGACAAATGTTAAAACTGGTGTGATACTGTCTTTCACTCTATTATTGGTGTTGCTTGTTGACATGGTAAAACTATTATGTACTACATGACAAATATGTAAATAAATAATGAGCGAACGAAATAAACTTGAATACAGTGTTTGCTTTAGTATATTTGGGGTTTTCCTATGTGCACGCCTGTGAATTTCAAGATTTTTCTCTATTGTATATTGTCTGCTTCTTTTGTTTTCTTTTGGCCTTGGGATTCATGAGTTCATATTATACAAGTGCTCACATGGAAAAAGAAAAATGCATGTCCTTATAATAGTAGTAGACTGTAGATAGACAAATCAATAAAGAACAGAATCAGATTCTCTGAAGACTTGTTTGTTACATATACTTAATCCTCAATCTCTTTAGCTTTACATTAAGTTTATGTGTAGTGTAGGGGAAGCTCCAAAAGGAATTTAGGTGTTTGCAACTTAATTTGGGGAATGATAAAGATATGGAAATTTTTACTAAGTGTGTGTTGTGGTGATTTCAGATAAAACTGGCGTCTGTGAAGCTAGCGATGAAGTATATGAAGAGAGTATCGGCGGAGCTGGAAGCCATTGGAGGCGGTGGCCCTGAAGAGGAAGAGCTTATCGTTCAAGGCGTACGATTCGCATTCCGTGTTCATCAGGTAAAGTTAAAGAACGACCTTGATCTATCATCCTCTGTTTCGGTTTGGCTTGATCCTGTGACAATATTTGTTTGTCCAAACTCTTAAAATTTTGCTCTTTGTTCAGTTCGCCGGAGGATTTGATGCAGAGACAATGAGGGCATTTCAAGAGCTAAGAGATAGAGCAAGATCATGTCATGTTCAGTGTCAAAGCCAAACACATCAACAACATAAACTTGTTTTTCGATCCACCCCTTGTTGAAGCAATCTTAGCTTCATATCCACTTTCTTTGGTATTTTGTTATCTCATTATCTCTCTATTAAATTTGTTTTTTTTTTTCCGAAGACTGATAAAAAATCTTGTGAATATACAAAAACTCTTGCTGAAAACAAAAAAGGATCATATTCAAAATCCCAAAAACCATCTTATCATATATTTACTGAAATGAAGATTCACTAAAAAAGCCACTGTTTAAGAAACTGAAAAAAGGGAAATTAAACTAATTCCATTGTCCTAAAACCCCAAACTTAAACCCGCAGAATTAAACCCTGCACCTCCTAATTACACAACCACCCATTCATCATCACTGTTGGATCCTGCATCTTTGGATTCAGACTTCTCAACTGCAACTTTGGATTCAGGCTCATCAACTGCAACTTTGGATTCAGGCTCATCAGCTGCATCTTTAGAGAGTTCCAACTGAAAAACAAAAAAAAAGAAGAAAGAAAGACAGTATTGTTATAAGAAAAGATATAACTAAAATCAACCAAGCCAAAAGTAATGAGAAACTTTAATGCACACACATACCATTTGAATTGCTCCTACTCTCTCTATTTTAGAATTGGGCAAAGCTTCAACCTTTTCGACAACTACATACTCGTCATCGCTCTCACACTTCAGCGAGTGACCTGATGATATACCTGTCCAACAAATCATCAGAGACATTACAGATCCATAAACTGCAATGGACGAAGAAAGAGATCAAAACAAAAAGAAGAATCAGAATAGTTACCCATTCCAGATAAACTTGCACTAAGGTCGTTTTGAATGCCTTTCTCCAAAGGCAAAAAGTTGATGTCTGTCACAAACCATCGAAGAAATTACATAAGAGATCCATAAACTGAATGGACGAAGAATGAGACTTTAGAAAGAAAGAAAAAGTTACCCATTTCAGATAAACTTGCACTAAGGTCGTTTTGAATGCCTTTGTCCAAAGCATGTATATCTGTCACAAATCATCAAAGACATTAACATTACAGATCCATGAACTGAATGGACGAAGAATGAGATAAGAAAAAAAGAAATAAACATTTACCCAATTCAGATAAACTTGCAGTAAGGTCGTTTTGAGTGACCTTGTCCAAAGTGGAGGAGGTTTCAACAGCCTCAACAACAACAACAGGCTCAACAACAACTGTCGAGTCATCATCATCACCCACATAATCAAATCCATCTACAAGAAATTTACGAAGACATGATACTATGATATAAAAGAGCTTATGAACATGTTTTAAAAGGTTAATCACAAGAGTGAGTTAATAGTTACCAGTGGTAGATAAAGTGCCAAGGTAATCGTTGTAGAGGTTGAAGGTGTCGTAAACGGGAAGCTTCCTACGAGGTCGGATCAAATATGGTAGAGGAACACCTGCTAAATATAATTCCCGGATCAAAAACTCAGTAACATGAAACAGGAAGAAGAACCAGAATGATAACAATGAGTCGTAACAAAACACCAAAACAGAGACAAGTGAGCTTTTTTACCTTTCCTCTTCCGAGATTCCATGGGGTTGACAGGAACATGATACACTTGTTCGAATGTTGCCATGTCCTGCGAAAAGAATCAAGCTGAATTGTTCAAATTGCAAGAACTTTTAAGAGAGATATGACCTATTAGCATCTTAGAAGCAGAGAGATGAGCGCAAAACTAGCAAACCCTAACAAAAAGTTGGATATTTTACGCTTATCGGACTAATAAGAAGAGATTGTGCGGTTGTGGAAGAACCCTAAACGATCATGATCTTGTTTTAGAATTAAAAGTTATCATCTTTGGATACCCAATCGCCTAAAACAATCGTAAATCAACAACTTCAGATCAAAAACAGAATTCCACAGGAAAAATTCTCCGGAAGAAACTGTAAACCCTAAATTCCGTAATTATACCTCGAAAGAATCACGTAATCAAGTCCCAGAACTAGAGAAAATCAAAGAAGAATAGCAACGAAAGAGAGAATTATCAAGTATCAACGACGAACAGAGAAGTTACCAAAAAACCCATATGATTACCTTCGAAGATTAAGGGATTATTGTTAATCAGCTCTCGAGAAAATTGGATCTTCTGATTCTGACGGAATTTATAGGGAAGAAGAAGAGATTAGAGCGGACGAAACAATGGGATTAAGATTAGCCTTGATGTTAAAATCTTTATAGCAATAATAAATAGGGTTTTCCTTTTTCTATTTTGTTACCATAAACAAGGTTTAATTTAATTAATAATTCCTTTTTATGGCAGTTTTTAATTAATTATGTATTGCAGTTACCGACGTGTCACTAACTATACTCGGAATCCAATGGTTTAGCTTCCTAAAAAATAGATAACCGACCTCAAAAACCGGTTCGGTTTACATTTCTCAGCCGCGCGGAAAATAAAAAACCTCTTCATCCTCCTTTCTCATTGTTAAACTCTCAAATTAGGGTTTTTTTTCTTCCCGCCACCGCGTCTCAGTGTTTTACGTAACCTCGCCGGAAATATTCTCCAGCATCTCCCGTTCCTTCTTCCGGGTACTGCTAAATTTTAAAGCTTTAGTGATTTCTTCGTATCTACTCTTGTCATCTTTTGGTGGAATTGAATCCGAATTCGTCGTGTTTTAAACTTGCTCTGACTTTAGGTCGAAATCTGTCTGATTGATTCGTTTTCTAGCTATGTTGCTTCTCTTTGAAATTGGGTTATAGGGATGATTTGAGTAAGATAATATGAAATTGCTCAATTGAATCTCGAGAGTTTCAAATGAGAACAGTAATCGATCTGTGATTTGCTAGGTATGGATACTTCAAGTCCAGCTGTATTTGTGAATGGGGAGTTGTTGAGACGGTACGTTGGTCAGAAAGTGAGAGCGGTGGTTCAAGTGATCCGGTCAGAGAGTGGATCAGTGATTGGGAAATCGACTGATGATCAGCAGATTGTGGTGAAGGGCTCGCCTCCTTCTTCGCCTCTAACTACTTACCTTGAGGTGATAGGAATCGCTGACAGTGAGAACAGTATTCGAGCTGAAGTTTGGACCAACTTTGGGGATAACTTCGGTATACTCCTCCAGAAAAAAAAGATCATTTCTTTAAGCTTTGGTAGAGTCATTTTGGTTGCCATTATTGATTGTGTTTCTTGATTTGGGATCTTGCTTGTTTGGTTGCAGATGCACAGAACTACAATGAACTATGTAAGCTCGCAAATGGTGAGTTTAGACACTTGTTCATCTAAACTACTGGCGATGCATGCCGAAGCTATTTTCTTGTAGATTCTTCAGGTTGGAGATCAAGCGCCTTGAACTATAAAAGTCTTTTATTGATTTTATGGTCTTAGATTTCTGTATGGTGGAAAGCTCCTATGTTTTATGTTGGATTCAAGAATGACTCTGTTAGTTAATTTGACTGTGAATCCTAATGCTTCTTGCTTAGTGTTTTGGTTATCCTTTGGTTCCATCACATTTGTGCCCTAAGATTTGTAACATTCAAATTTGATTTATAAAACTCTCTCTGTTATTAGATGGTCTCGAACAAAATAAACCATATCTACATTACAACTTTCAAAAATGATAATATACACAATTGTTGAAACACAAAAGTTGTCAACCTACCTAAAGCCCACGGCCCAGCCTATGTTTTAAAACGATATCGTTTAAGATCTGGCCCAGTTCGATTAAACCGGGGTTTTGAGAGATTTAGCCATTATAGGAGAAAATCAAAACCTAAACCGAACAGAAGAGCTTGCGAGTCTTTGAGGAAGAAGAAGAAATCAGTGTAGAGACACAGACACCAGCCTTGGCAAAAGGTGTTTTTTTTTTTTTTTTTTAATTCTGGCTTTTCCGATATCTAGAAAGTTGTTTTGAGGTTTCGATTGCTTTCTCGTCCAAGGCTTTGCTCGCTTTAATCTGATTCTTAATTTTGTTTTTCACGCTCTTGCAATTGAATATCATGTAGGCTATTTCTTGGTTGTTCGCGTGGTTAATCATTGTAGCTGTGTTGGGTTAGTGAGGAAATCGATGAGAATTTTGCTCTGTGTTTATGCAATTTTGGACTTGTGTGTGGCTTCAAAATCAAAACTTATATCCGACTTAACAACAAATTGAAGATTTTTAGTCTCGTTTACATTACGCTTAACACTCATTATACATAGAAACTGTGAAACCGACATCTCTTTATTGACATTCATGTTGATCCTTGACTATTTGGATAATCAGATACTCTGATACTTTTCTAAACTGTGAAACTTCGTTTAGTCTGAGATCTCTCTTTCTTTTGATGTAGATAGTAGAGAAGCAATGACTGAGTTACAGATGGAGGTAGAGACAACCGATCCTTCTCCGCAGGAGCCTCTCCCGAAGCCTCAGTTCATGTACAGATGCAAGAAGTGCAGAAGAATAGTGGCTATTGAGGAAAACATAGTCCCACATGAACCAGGGAAAGGCGAAGAATGCTTTGCTTGGAAAAAGAGAAGCGGAAACCCCGAACATGTCCAATGCTCCTCCATCTTCGTCGAGCCTATGAAATGGATGCAATCAAGTGAGCATCTTCTTCTTTTTCTTTTTAAACTCTAGCTCTGTATCTTAAAAACTGAAAGTTCTTGCTAATGCGCTCTTACCGCTTCTGTTTGGTTATTTGCAAGTTCATGATGGAACTGTTGAAGAGAAGCTTCTTTGTTTGGGGTGTAACGCCAGGTTAGGTTATTTCAACTGGGCTGGTATGCAATGTAGCTGCGGTGCTTGGGTTAATCCCGCTTTCCAGCTCCAGAAAAGCCGAATCGACGAGTGTAAGTCCGACCCAAACCCGAACCCGAATCCGGAATCTGTATGAGAAAGGAAGATACTCTTTGGATAGCTAATGATGGTTATAACAAGATAAAATTAAGCCTTTTTGTATTGAACATCATTATGGAGTGTTTTAGCTATAAATACAACAAGAGTTCATTAACTTAATCTTAATGCATTGTTTAAATTCAAACATAGAGAACATTTTAGCAGCTTAGGTTATGTGTTAGTTTATGTGTCTTTCTAATTTTAGGGGAAGAAGAGAAAAAATAGAGTCAAAAGATTGTCACATTTTAGAAACTAGAGGCTATAATTGAGAGAATTAACAACCTCACTATTGTTTTTTTTCTTTTCTTACAAGAAACTAATTCGAGTTAATTAACTAATAAACGGTTTTCATTTCAATTAGCTAAAAATAACAAATGGTTATTCTTTGTGTATAAAACCGAACTTTGTGGCTCTTGTGAATTAGTTGTCCTCTTCTCTAGCATAATTCTCAGCAAAAGGAAAACGATTTTCAAAGAGGAGAGGTATCAAAAAGACAGAACCTTTTTTAACATTTTCTAAACAAAATGGCAACCAAAGCCATCTTCTTCTTCTTAGTCTCCGCCGTGTGCCTGTCGTCCCTCGCCGGCGTTGAACACGCCGACGCCGATGACTTTGACCGTTTCCAGATTCAGGGATCGGTCTACTGCGACACGTGTCGTGTCCAATTCATCACCCGTCTCAGCAAATTCCTTGAAGGAGCCAAAGTGAAGCTAGAGTGCAGGAGCAGAACCAACCAAACCGTGACGCTGACGAAAGAGGCCGTGACGGACAAGTCAGGAAGCTACAAGATGGAAGTGACCGGTGACCACGAGGAGGAAGTCTGCGAGCTCGTGTTGGTCCAGTCACCGGACAGTGGCTGCAGTGACATCAGCACAGAGGCTTACCTACGTAACGCCGCCAAGATCAGCCTTACGGCGAACGACGGAATCGTCTCTAACGAAGTACGTATCGTTAACCCTCTCGGTTTCATGGTTAAGACGCCGTTGGCCGAATGTCCCGCCGCTTTTAAGGAGCTCGGGATCGTTCCTGACGTCACCTTCTAAGCTTGATGACGACTTCAAAGATCGTTATTTAACTGTCGTCTCTATTGTTTGTTTTCTTATATACAGCAAAAAAAAACTTGTAATTTGATAAAAATACAGAAAATGTCGTAATCATAATAAATTATTTATCTTTTTTCCGAGCACCAGATTAAAATTTCTGTTATTAATAATAAATATTGTTTGTGTTACACGACATTAAGAAATTTGAAAAAATTACAGAGGAATGTACAAAGAATCAATTAGATTCCTTTTCTTTTTATGTTCATCTTTCACCGTCTTCATCTGTTGTAAGCTACAGCCTATTTAACAGTGAAGGTTTTGGCTTTGTTAGTCTCATGAAACTAATGCAAATGACAAAAGGAAGAAAAAAAGGAGAGGCTTTTGCTATCAGTACCCGCCGGATTGATTTTGCGTTTTGTTCAGAACAGCGTTTGCTTCATTACTGGAACTGGATTTTGGTTTGTTTGGTGGCCAATGACGAATGATCTCTGAAACAGATGGTTTATAATCTGGAACTTGTTCTTGTTCTTGCTCTTGTTCTTGATCTTGCTCTAGTCTTGAAGATGTGGATTGATGATCAACAGAGTCGAAACACGGAAGATCAAGAAACGAGCCAGAAAAAGGAACCATATCGCCATGGGTATTTCTCTTTCCACCTTGCTCCAAGCTTGATACAGACTTTCTAGGGCTTTCATCAGATTCCCACAGCTCAGAATCCGACAAACAGTTGTCTGAAACACCACGAGATGACTGACAAAAGATATCGCTGCTGTCGTCGTCGTCATCCGAGTTGCTAGCCTCTGGAACCAACTGAAACGAAGGGAACATATCCGCATTTTCACCGTTGTGCTGAGTTTGGCATGGGATTCTCAGTTTCAGTTTGGAAACTGCAGAGGCATCTGTTGGCTTGAATGATATTTTCATATGTTCAACCGGTGGTGATGAAGTAGGCGAGCCAAAGAGAGATGATTCATAATCCAATCGCTCCTCAAAGCTCGAGACACGATGAGTTTGTTGAGTCATGTCTTCAATAGCTGTTACTCTGGTATCATAGCTTGTAGTAGGTATGGATTCAAATTTGCAAGTTGAAGAAGAGTTTCCACGAAACCCAGCCATGAGTAATCTATGACTTAACCCAAAGACTTTGAATGATGTTGGCGTGCTCTGCAGGTGAGAGTGAGATCCATTAGAATGACTCAACATGTTGCTGCTTTGTTGCTGAGTGGTGGTGGGATCTGAAACAGCTAAAGAAAGTGAGCTCTTCTCTGTAACTTCAACTGGTCTGCCTGATGATTCTGGCCTCTTACTAGCTCCGTTGGTCTCGTTCTGTATATGCTCGCTTACAGAATTAGGCTCAGCAAAAACTGGAGGTTTCAATGGCGCAAGTCCAAGGAGTCCCCCATTGCTCCATATACTTACTGGTTCAACAACTGTACCATTTGACAGAGATTCCTGAGTATCTGGAGAAACCGTCACCGAATCTGGAACTTCTGGTGAGAACTTTTGATCGAAAATAGCTTCTGCAAAAGATAAAAATGCGGCATCGTCCAAAAATACTTTTTGGTCGGGAATACCTTCCGTGAAATCCAGATATGTAGCAGCAGATTCATTTGGGAGATTAGTGTCGTCGGGAACAGTTTCTGCCAAGGACAGATCCGTGACAGCAGGTTCGCCAAGGAAGGTTTTGTTGTGTAGATCAGTTTCTGCTGTGGAAGAGGGAGTTTCTGAGCCTGGGATATTTTCATCAAAAACATCATTGGCCAAGGAAAGATCCGTGGCAACAGATACTTCAGGGAAGGTTTCGTTGTGACCAGATTCTGTAGTGGAGCAGGGAGCTTTTGAGTCTGGGATCTTTTCATCAAGAACGTCTTTGGCCAAGGAAAGATCCATGACAACAGGTTCTGCAGGGATGGTTTCGTTTTGCGGACCAGTTTTGGTTGTGGAACCAGGAGATTCTGAGACTGGGATCTCTGCATCAAAAACATCTTCGGCCAAGTACAAATCCCTGGGAACAGGTTCTTCAAGGAAGGTTTTGTTGTGCGGACTAGTTTCTCTCGTGGAAA